TTGGTTAGCTATATGTAGAAAAATGAAACTTGATCCCTATCTCTTCCCATATACAAAAATTAACTCAAGATATGTTAAAGACCTGAAATCATAAAAATCCTAGAAGAAAACCTTGGAAAACCTCTTATGGACATCAGCCTAGGCAAATAATTTATGGCTAAGACCCCAAAAACAAATGCAACAGAAACAAAAATAAACAAGTAGGACTCAATTAAATCAAAAGGCTCTGTACAGCAAAAGAAATAATCAACAGAGTAAATAGGCAACATACAGAATGTGAGAAGATATTTAAGCTGTACATCTGATAAAGGACTAGTATTCAGAATCTACAAAGAACTCAAACAAATCAGCAAGAAAAAAGCAAATAATCCCATTAAAAGGTGGGCAAAGAACGTGAACAAACATGTCTCAAAAGAAGATACACAAATGGCCAACAAACATATGAAAAAATGCTCAACATCACTAATTGTCAAGGAAATGCAAATTGAAACCACAATGAGATACCACCTTACACCAGTGAGAATGGCCATTATTTTTTTTTTAATCGAAAAACAATAGATGCTGGCACAGATGCAGAGAAAAGGAAACACGTATACACTGTGGGAGTGTAAATCAGTATGCCTCTATGGAAAGCAGTATGGAGGTTACTCAAAGAACTAAAAGTAGATCTACCATTTGACCCAGCAATTCCACTACTAAGTATCTACTCTAAGGAACAGAGGTCAATAAATAAAAAAGACACCTGCACCTAAATGTTCATCACAGCACAACTGACAATTGCAAAGATGTGGAATCAACCTAAATGCCTACCAACCAATCAGTGGATAATGAAAATATGGAATATTTACACAATGGAATGCTACACAGCCACAAAAAAGAATGAAATCATGTCCTTTGCAGCAACATGGATGGAACTGGAGATCACCCTCTTAAGTAAACTGACTCAGAAACAAAAACCCAGCACCACTCATTCTTACTCCTATGTGGGAGCTAAACAGTCACAAAGATGGAAATAATAGACACTCGGGACACCAATAAGGGAGGACGAGGGTTAAGGTTCAGAAACTACCTATGGGACGCAATGTCCACTATCTGGGGAATGGGCCACCTGAGACCCAGTCCCCACCACTTGCACATTATGTTCTTGCATTGAATAAGCATGTGAAGCATGCGTACCTCCACATCTAAAATAAATGAAAAATAAAGTAAACTGAAACTTAAACTAATTTGTTAGAATTTCTTTTCTCATTCTAACCAAATTCATTTTTTGTTTCTATTTGTATTTACAATTTTGTTCATTTTTGATGAGGTTACTCCAAATTATATAAGACTCGGGTTATTAAAAAAAAAAAAAGCCTGGTTTGGTTAAGACAAGGTGAAGAAAAGATGACAGGGAGATGGTGAAGATGAAGGGAGGGGTTCAGCTCTTTGTGGGGAGAAAACTAAGAATCTGGATACACAGTCTGAGAGAGAGCAGTGGGGGAAAAGCGTAGAGGGAAGAGGAAGCATGACCTGTACTACTCTGTGTCACACGCTGCCTCACGAAAACTTAGTTGTATTCATCAACATCATACGAACACAGCTGTTCACCTTCCATACATTGGTCATTTCCAAAAGCATTCTCTTCAACCTTTAAAAGATAAAAATGTCCATGTCCCAGGGCTTTCGAGCTCCTATTCATCCATCCTTCCAACTGCTCATTTATCTATTCAACGAACATTCACTGAGCACTTGCCCTGCTTTGGTAACCATGCCGACGCACCTAGGCATTCACTGATTCATCTAGTCCATACCCCACAATCTCTCTGTTGCGCAGCCACGCCATGCCTGGCACTGTGCTAGACTGTGATGTCAGCAATGCAGACAGAGTCTTGGCCTCTTGGAGCCTGCTGCCTGGGAGGACCTTCTGCCCTGGATTTTGACATCGCTAGACATATATTCCAGGCTCGTTCTCTCCTTCTGTTACTTGCTTCCATGAGAAAGAATAGAAGTGGTAGTAAGGGCAGCCTCCATCAGCGCTGTTCAGTCATGGCATTGCGGACATGTTGGACCTGATCACTCCTTTTTGAGTTGGGCTGTTGTGTGCATTGTAGAATGTTCAGCAGCATCCCTAGCCTGCTGTCTCCTACCCACTAGGGGCCAGGAACAACTGTCCAGTTGTGACAGCCAAAAATGTATCCAGATACTGTCTGATGTCCCCTGAGGAACAAAATTCTCCCACTTTTATCCTGGTTGAGAACTACTGACCTAGGTCACCCTTTGCAGATTCTCCAACAAGTCTCAGGCACGTGCTCAGCAAGACAGCACAACCCACCGTCTGATAACAGAGGCAGGCAGTAGACATCAGACAGGTCATTCCAGTATCATAGGAGTGTTAATTATAGATATGCATAGGGTGTTCCTCCTTCCCTCCTTAGATCTTAAAAAGGTTGTCCTGACGGTTGGCTGTGACTTCTTACTGAGAAATAAGGAGGTTATTAACTGTTGATAACATCTTAATTTTCCTTCTTAACAATTGCATCTTTTAGAAGGTAGATGAAGCAACCTTCAGGAAAATTACTATTCTGATTTAATTCTAGCAGCAAGAAGTTGTTGATGCTGTGTCTGGGTGCTTAGAATACAGTAACAGTGTTTACCTGTATCTTATAATAGAAAAAGAAGTGGATCCTTCCTGTGCCCACCCATACATACTTCTTGTCTGTAGAAAAGCAAATTATAATGGGAAAAAAATCAGATCAAAGGAAGTCATTATTCCATAGACACAGAAAAGATAAAGAGGCTCTAAAGAGTAAGTTCTGATTATGTGTGTGGGGGCGGGAGGGATGGGACAGGAGGAAGCGGGAGGAGGAGACGCCTGGTCTCTAGCAAAACTCTTAAGGAAGAGAAGAAAGTGAGTTTTACAGATATTGAGGTGAAGTTACTTCGAGCTCTCTGATGAGTTCAAATATTTAACTTTTTAGGAAGCTCAAATCTTAGGAAAGATGACGGAGGAGGGCTGAGAATGCCGCTCAAACTTTTCCAGGAAAGCATCCCTTACCATGGAAGAGAGAACTGCTTGTACTTCCAGGAAGATATGGATATATGAGCCCAAAAGCAAGTCACTGGAAGTCATATATTCATTCAACAATTATTTATTGAGCACATGCTACACTCCAGGCACTGGGCTGAGTTCAGCAGCATAACACTATATGTGGTTCCCATTCTCATAAAGCTCAAAGGAACAAACAAGCAATTTACGAACCATAATCTGGACCCTTGTGGTTTCCAGGAGGAAGCTATATGAAAATAGAGAAGCCTATTTGACAGCAAGAAAGGAGATGCAAGGAATTCTGGGTAGAAGAAAAGTCATGTACACATGCCCAGAGGAAGAGAGAAGACATCTTTCAAAGCAAACTGCAAAATTAAGTTTAATCAGAACGTGGTTAATAGGGGCAAAGCCATAGACTGGAGACAGAATGATCTATGCACAGATTTAGACATAGTGACCTTCATCAAGATTCCCTGGGCTTAGCCTCAGAAACGCATAATCATATTGACACAGTGTGAAAGTTAGAAGGCTTGTGTGCCCTTAGAAGAATTTCTTAATCTCTCTGAAGCATAGTATTCTCATCTGGAAAATTATAGGTAATAATAGCCACCTCACTGATTTCTAATGAAAATTAAATGAAATAGTATACAAAATGCCTAGCACAATGCCTGACACACAGGTAATGCTTAATTTTTATTTAGTTAACCCCAGTTACAGGCATGGCTGATGTTAACCTAATCAAAGCCCATGTTATCCATTCAGAGGATAGCATAATCACCTGTGGTCTGCATGTTTCAACCAAAGGAGAATAGGTGACCAAGATGAAATCTAGTAAGGGAAAAGTCAGAGAATGACCAACTGTCAGGGTGTTTTCGACAGGCCTAGAGAAAAGTTGGGAAATATTCCAGTTTTTATTGGCAGTTCCATTTTCCCAACAGTTGGATTAAAACTTCACGTGAGGCCCCATACCCAAGCTCACACCTGTGTCCTGTGGAGTGAGTCAGCCCCAGAAAACTCATACAGCCAAGAGTCATTAACCAAGAGTCATGAACTGAAGAGGCCTGAGAGGTTGGGTTTGTGAGTCGATCCGGTTTACCCCTCGAGTTATCATCTCCCTGAACGTTATATACCATCATAATTTTATGCTGCAGTGTAACTCCCAGGCTCATTCATTTTTTACTCATAGTGGTGAGCATTAAAATCCTATAAATTAAAAAGGCAAAAGCTTACTCCTGCTTCTCAGCTGGCCTGGGAACACAGATACTAGAAGAAAGAGAGGCCGGAATGACCGAAAAAGGAAGGTTACACACATGAAGGGGACCAGAGCAGGCTGTGGGAGAGAAACGGAACTTGACACTTAACATTCAGTTGCTCTGGGGTCCCTTTGATATTGATGCACCTTGGGCCTCTTCTCAGAAACCAGAAACAGGAAGTCCCAATGACTTTTTTTTTTAAATGAGAGCACCATGAGACCCTCAGAGACCCTAGACAGAGCAACCCTTTCCAAGTTTTCCTTCCTACAATTTTGATCTGTCTTTGGGACAATGACAATGTCATTTGCCTTGGCTCAGGACACAACTCCTTTTGTATATTGAGGTCTCAAGGAATGCTGAAGGGACCCAATGTATCAGAGCATAAAACGTGGCCGTTATCAGCGTAGAGCTTTTGTTCACAAGGCAGAAACCACCACTTTCCCACAGCATCAGAGATCACAGAATGAGACACAAGAGACCTGCTTCTCCATCTTCCCAGGGTTCTGTTTTTGTTATGCCCCCTTGGGAAAGAGATGGAGCCTGATTTTGCAAGGCTCAGAAAGGGTCCCCAATCTCTCCCCAGCCCTGCTACTGGGATGAAAGGGCCTGCTGCCTGGAGGCCAGACCCCATCTCCAGGGTTGAGCCACGGCCCATCTCCCCTTTCCCATCAGACCCCACCTTGGCCCACGATCACAGGCAGGCAGTTGGTGGAAAGTACCTTGAACGCTGATCACCAGGAGTAACAGAGGCAACGGTAGCAGTTCCCGAACCAGACGCCGCTCCCATCCTCTGGAACACATAATACCTCCCGGCAACCCTGGAGATGGCTAGAAAAGGACCGAGGTTGAAAGGGGAACTCACGACTCAGGATTACAGGAAACACCCACTGACATGTTCTCTCCACGCAGAACACTTGTGTACCCGCCCAGAAACCAGAAACCGGAAGCCCCATCGATTTTTTAAATCTGAGAGCATCATGAAAACTGAGAAAAAATTTGTTTGTATATTAATGCTTTTATGTAGGGAGATTCATAGTTCTCATTCATAGATTCATAGGATTTTCAGAGGGTTCAGCACTCAGAAAAGATTAAGGGTCCCTGATAGCTCCTTTTGGTTCCCAGGAAGGAATCGCCCTGATTAATTCAGGGACTAAGACATAGCAGGTGCCCACTCAAGCCTGGATAGGTCTTATTTAGAGCAGAAGTCTGGGAAATTAGACTCATGCAGCCTTAGTGCTGCATCTCCCAGCCCCAGTTCTACCTTTTAACTCTTCTTCCTTTATGATAAATTCATGGTTTAAACCTTTCCTTCAGACTATCCACTGAACATTAGTTGAAAAGTTAAGATTACTTGGCCCCCCAAAAATAGATTTCCCACCCTTGCGGTCTAAGAAATGCTGAACCAAGTCCTCTTGAATCTAATTGAATTATTTGCCCACCCAGGACCCATAGGCAAGCCACAGTCCCTGATATAATGTGTTTGTAATCATTTCAGAATTGGGAACATTTCTGATTCTCAACACAGAGGAGACCCCAAAAAATGGCAGTTTTCCAATGTGAACTCCTGTGGTAGAAGCCATTCTCAAACCTGGAGGACATTATGTTAAATGAAATAAGTTGGGCACAGAAAGACAAATAACACATGTTCTCATTCATATGTGGAAACTAAAAAAACAAAAAGAGCTCACAGAAGTAGAGAGTAGGATTGTGGTCATTAGAGACTAGGAAGAGGTGTGGGAGTTGGTTAATGGACACAAAGTTACAGGAGGAATAAGTTCCAATAGCCTATAGCACTGTTGGCTGATTATCATTAGGAATAATTTACTGTGTATGTTCAAAAAGTGAGAAGAGAAGATTTAGAATGTTCTCAACACAAAGAAATGATAAATGTGTGAGGTAATAGATATGCTAATTACCCTGATTTGATCATTACACATTGTATACATGTATCAAAATATCTCTGTAGAAACAAAGATTTGAATACCGTGTGTTTTCACTCATAAGCAGGCCCTGAACACTAGTCACATTAGCACAAGGGTAGGATCGGCAGTTGGTGGGCACTGCTGGGGGATGTGGGGGCACATGACAGTACAATGGGTACCTGGTTCATTATCAGGGGGAAAGAGGGCCAATTAGATGTACAAACTTCACCTGCAAGCAGTCTACTTATGTAGTTAATCCTCATTTGTACCCCACAACTCTGAAATAAAGCAATATCTCTGTACCCCCATAAATATGTACAATTGTTACGTGTCAGCTAAGAATTGAAGGAAAAATGAAAAAAAAAAAAAGAAAATTGCAAAGCAAAATTTATAACAGTACCACAATCAAATTTCTTTTCATTAAACTGATCTCACGTTTGGGACTGTATACTGTATTTTTCCTCATAAATAGATTTAACTTTAGGACACAATCCTGTTCCTTCCTTCAACAAAAAAGGACAAAATTGTATTCAATTTAAAATGAAGAGTTGCTGGAAGATATGCAATACTTGAATGACAATTAAAATAAAAAATTACCCAGTTTGGAGTAAGAATAAAGTAGTGAGTGCATTAATTTCTGGAATAAATAAATAAATAGTAGTCATCCTCCCCAAAGGATCAGCATAGAGTAACTGAGTCAACTCAGTACCTGAAACTGTGTATGATAGCCACATATCCGGTCACATTGGGGCTCTGTGAGGTGGGCAGGGCAGGTATTCTCATCTGCATTTTATTGAAACACAGAGTCAGACTTGCCTCAGCTCCAGTGAACTCCAGTCCTCAGCTCTGCTCCCAACATGGGCCACAGCAAATCTTCAGACTAGAAGAGAAGATGGACAGGAGTAGGTGGGCAAGGTTGAGGTGGAGTTCTCCAAAGCAGATGGGAGAGAAGAGACTGGGTCCTAAGAGTTCAAAGCAGTCTAGAAGCAGCCATCTGTGCCTGGTGGTGAGTCTCGCTGCAGGGGAGCTGGAGAGGGCTGAGAGGAGGTTTGTGTCTGGAGGTGTTGTTACAACTTCCTCCGCCCTCCCTCTCCCCTTCTCCTGCTCACTTACCTCAAGGGGTGTCCCCAAGCATACTCTGTCTTTGTTCCTAGAATCATCCTCCCCATAGTGCCCCGTGCCCTAGAGCTTATCCTCCAACTCCCTAAACCTCTCTCCTAGAGCTCGACTAATCTAGGAATCTGAGCTAAGGATGGAGGGAATGGCAAGGGATGCTTTGAAGATGCCTCCTTCCCTCATAATGCATGTGCTTTGCAAGGACCCCGTGGTGGCGGGGCAATGAGAGGAGACGTGAACGAGGATGTCCATGTGGGCTCTTGTAATTCTGCCTGTTGATTTCATAAACACAACCAGCACCCCTGTATGCTCCATGAATGTACTCTAATGTCCATGAGGATGCCAAGAACAAGGAGACTGGCCCTCGTCCACAAGAACTCCCTTCTAACCAGGCTTGAACCACTCTCTCTTGTCTCTGTGCTTTCTGCTTGTTTCCTCTGCCTGAAATACCTCTCTCCCCTTCTTGACTTGGTCAACTGGCCACCCTTCAAAAGTAACTCAAACTTCATTCCCTTTCGGCTCCTTGCTTCTGTCTTCCTGGAGGGTTGTTCTTATCATTGAATAGAAATTGCAGCTGCTAGACAAGGTGAAGATATTGTTCAAAGGTTTCTGCTTGAAAAGAACAGATATGCATTATACAAAATTTACCCAAAAAAGGAAAAATAGAAAGTTAAAAATAAAAGTCATCCATAATCTCATTATCAAGAAAAAAAAACACCGCTCAAAAAAAAAAATTGGCTGGGTACAGAGGTTCATGCTTATAATCCCAGCACTTTGGGAGGCCAAGGTGAGAGGATTGCCTGAGCCCACAGATTCAAGACGAGCCTGGGCAACTTGGCGAGACCTCATCTCTACAATAAATCAAAAAATTAGCCAGGTGTGGTGGCGTGTGCCTGTAGTTCCAGCTACTTGGAAGACTGAAGCAGAAGGATCACCAACACCCAGCAGCTTGAGGCTGCGGTGGCCATGAGCGTGCCACTGCACTCTAGCCTGGGCAACTGAGTGAGACTCCAACTCAAAAAAAAATTTACTTTTTCTGATGCACAGTACTCCCTTCTAGTGTCCTTTTCATTGCACCTGCACTTACAGTTAGATAATTGTGGTCCCGTGGCATAGACTTTCTACATGATCCTGTCACTTATAGCATGAGCGTCATCTCATGTTATTAAGTTTTTGTCAAAAATAAGATTTTTAATGGAAGCCTAATATTTCTGAATACGTTTGTTTAAGTCATTCTTCATCACTGTACATTTGGATTGTTCTAACTTGTATTTGCATGGGGACTTACAAGAGACTGATGCCTATGACCTTTGACCTCTGACAAGAAGAGAGAGTCAGGGAGAAGGTGGAGAGGGTATGGTTCCTGGGAGTGGAGGCATAAGTGGGATGTGGAAGGACTTGAGACTTTTTTAGAAGGAATAGGCAGGCTGAATGCATGTGTGTGTGTGTGTGTGTGTGTGTGTGTGTGTGTGTGTGTGTGTGTAGGTGGGTGTGCGAGTGTCTGCCTGAATGGGGACTTGGGGACAGGCGGCCCTGACTCTCCTGGTGAAGCAGCTGCCACTGCCATTCAGACCCTAGTGCTTCCCATGGTACAGCAGCGAGCACCATTTTCTGAGACTAGCGGGGTCCACCTAGGGAGGAAGCTGCAAGGAGTGGCCACCACTAGGCACCCAGTCTTGCCAGGCTATGCAGCCTGCCACTGGGACTCAGGATCCAGAGACTACGGTATCTAACAGGGGGTGGAGGGCAGTATCTGATGCGGACAGAGCTGTTGCCTCTCTGGCCCCATGTGCCACTGGAACCATGAACTCAAGAGAGACTGAGCAATCCATGGCAAGTTGGGGACTGGAAGCACCAGGGGTGGAGAGAGGTGGCAGGGATGACACTGGCTGCAGAGGCTGCAACAGGAGCATGGCATGGGAACTGGAGGATGACACCCACTGGAGGGGATGGCACAGGCACTCTGCCATCGTTCTGAAGCCTGGGCAGAGAAGCACTCTAGGTGTCCACCATGGAGTGGTAGATTGGTCCCTTGAGGCCAGGGGGTGAACTCCACATCTCTCGGGGGTTGATTATCATGAACCCAGAGGGTGTCTCCCCTAGTGCAACCCCAGAGGGACATAGCAGGTGTGAAATTCCAGATGCTCCATCCCCTGCCCTGATCCAACTGTGATGCAACAGGTATTCTCAGAAGAGGAGGATGCGACTGGAGAAGGGAAGTGGTGAGTGCTGAACTGATTCACCCCGCACTCCCAGTGGCATGCCAAATGTCAATCCCACACAGGAGAAATCCTGGTCAGGGCACAGCAGAGGGAGTAGATGTGGAGCCAGAAGCAACTTCCGTTCTGAGAGGGCTCTCCTGCGGTGGACCTATCTGACACACCTATCATGTACACCTGGTAAAGAAGCAATCCGGCACCTCCTTCACAGAGCAGGGCAGAGAGAGAAAATCCAGCCACCAATTAAAGGAGGCACTCTGAACATGTTTGGAGTGATAAAGCCTCACACAACCAGAGAAGAACCCCTTGATCACACAGAAGACAGGAGTGGAGGCCAGGTGCCCCATCATCACACTGTGAATTGGGCACCCTGGAAGTTGAGAGCACTCTAGCAGCTCCCACCCCTTGTGCCAGCCAGCAATCACATGCAATAGGGGACAGAGAATTTAGCCCTACAAGTTTAGCAGTGGAGAGAAAGCCAGCAGTTACGGAACCTGCCACAAGAGGGAACTCCCTCCTCCACCTCAGAATTTTTTTTCTGTTT